CTCCTAGTAGTAAGGCCAGGAGCCCCTAGTAGCGTCCTTGCTCCTAGGAGCCCCTAGTAGCTTCTTATTACTGCAGAATTGGGTTTTAGGATGCCGTGGCACCTCCTGCAACTTTCGGCGAGCTCCATGAATAGCATTCTTCAGCCTCCGGTGCTCGACTATAGGGTCTCGGAATTTACAGGTTGACGGTTGCAGCGGTGGGTTTTTCACCCAAGCTCAACTGTCACAAATCGAGTATGTATCCTGAATGCACTTCATATTGAATACTTGCGATCTTTTAACATGTGCAATTGTGAACCACATGGAGAGAAAACACATTCACCAAGGTAAGTGGAGACGAGTCTCTTCAAAATGCCACGCACAAGGGCATTTGGGGACAGGGACACACTCTACAAAATGGGAAGATTCTGGAAGGGGATAGATAGAGAAAAGGGAGAAAATGAGTTAACTGTTAACAAAAACAGAAGCAGTCCATGATACATTCTGTAGAGGGTACCAGTTTTGCAAGTCGGGTAGAATGCAAATTGGCAAATAAGAACATGACGACCCATGTTGTAGAGTGTGTCATTTTGTAGAGCCAGCATTTTTCATAGGAGCCAAGACACGGCGAACGCAACATTCTTCCCTCATCCTTCCCCCTGTATCCCCCTGCCAGTTGTGTGGGTACCACTTTTTCTACACAGTGTCAGGTTTTCGACAAGATGCAAACCCGCGAGTTCAAAACCACCTTCAATGGGAATGACCACATTTGTCGAATCACAAACCTGCAAAACCTGGACATGCAGGACACGTTTTTCAGTGGTCAACCCAGGAGGATTATATATATAATATATATATGATATGTATAGATAATCAGATAATCGGTTGCTGCCATGTTCAATCGCCAAGATCGATACTTGCCAAGCACTATACTCTTCTCCATCTGAGGTTCAGCACTGCTGCAGGACAGAAGGTAGGGCACCCTCAGCCAGATTTCAATCAAGCTGGTCGCAGGTATATGACAAATGAATCAGGTTGCGGCCAATAGGTTGACTTGAGTATTAGACCTAATTACAAAGGACATTGTCCAACCATGACGCTTCACGTTCGACTCCTGGGAATAAACACACAACCTCAATCAATGGTAAGGGGTCGACTTGCTGTGCAAACATGACCATTTCATCATGACTCCATCGCTCCATCTACATGACTTAGTTGGGAACCAACAAACTGGCGGTTCTGCCTCAAAGGCTGGCTTTGGCTCTGCAGGCTCCGCTCCTCACCATGGGATACATTGGCTGGCGGTTGATGGAGCAACACGCACTGGTCATTGACTCAACCAAGGCCACTGCTGACACTCGACCAAGGTCGGGTCAAAACCGAGGCCAACTCGCTAACCATGAAAATCCGCCAACGGGATGTCAACCTTCCATGGTTTGGTGGGGAGGTTTTGACCCACTGCCAAAACTGAACCCGTGCTTCTGCAAATTTCGATTCAATGCAAAGACCATCTCCTAAATACACAAGCCCTCGCTGCCTGCAGATGGACTGGCACCAGTAGTTTCGGAAACCTTGTGCGTGCACCACAGCTTCTTTGGTTGGCAACATGAACTTGACATGATACAAACCAAACTCTCCAGATTCCAGACTTCACAAAAACAAAACCATCCAAAGTCCGTCAAACCTACAGTAGCATTGGCAGCAGTTTCCAGCTAAACATCGCAGCACGCGTTGGCCAGGAGTCCAGCCTTGTCCACCTTCTTGGGAGTCTCCCTGTAGCTGAACGCAGGTGGGAGAACGCGTGCTTGCCAACAAGCAAACACATTGTATACTGTAAACATATCCGCCGACCCCTGCTCTGGCGAAGGCAGGGGCGGCGCCTGGGACCACCGAAGGTGTGGAACCTGAGCTCTCCAAATCCTTACTTTTCTGGGCCCGAAAGCAAAAGCGCCAAAAGTTCGCACTTGCTAGACTGTGGGCTCTGGGCTCTGTGCCAGACTGTGGGCCATACTGGCCGTTGGAGCAGCCAGCTTCTGGATTCTGGACGCTTCAGACGCTCCAAAACCTCGCACTTGCCAGACTGTGGGCTCTGGGCTCTGCGAGACTGTGGGCGGAGTTGCGCAGGCTGTGGGCTCGGGGCTCTGGCGCGCCAAATCCTTTTTTT